TTGTTGCATTTATAAATTAATTTTTTGAAGTACCTAATTTTAATTATGTATAAATAAAATATTTTTTAAAATCTCATATAAATTAATTATAATTAATTTGCACAGTACTTTGGACCCTTTTTTATCCGTTTTCACCATTCAAACATATATTTTGGACCGCTATATCCGTTTGATCCGCATTTGTTCCGTTCGATCCGCTTGATCCGCATTTGTTCCGCTCGATCCGCACCCGTCTGATCCGCTTTCTCCATTCGAAACCTTATGTCTTTAAAAATTATTTGATCTCTCTCTTCTTTTGGCTTTTATGTCCGATTCCGATTTCCTCTCTATGCAACTAACTGGAAAACGAAGAAAGTAAACGAATCATATACATAATCCAATAATTGTTTCCATAAATATCTTCTCGTTTCCTCATTACAAAATTTTAAAAATATATATAAACCAATTTGTTTGGAGAATATTTTCGTTATATCCGATTCCATGGCCAATGCGGGTTTTTATCAATTATTTATGGAACAAATCGTTTTTTTCTTTCTATTAATACAAGTCCACTGTATGAACCTTTATATTACATGTATTATACTACATATGAACATAAATCAAAGGCGTCAGAATGCGTATTTCGTAATAACTACTATTTAAATTAATATGTTTGCTATTTTAATCGGAAACAATTATAATTCCTTTTTTTTTTAACAGTTATAATTCATCTAGTGGTTGAATGATAAATTACTGTAAACATTTTAAATAAAATATATAATGTTTATTCACAAGTTCTGGAAATTAATTTATGTTTTGGTTTGAAACTCTCTGATTATATATATATAAAAACAAAACCTATTGATATAAGAATAATTTATGTTATTTGAGAAAGCAATTACCTCTTCTTGAACTCGATGAATGATTTGACGTCTACAAATTTTATAGCCGAAACAGAATCTAGTTGAATGATAGATGTTCATGAAAGTGACCAAATGTGTGAAATAAGTATGCCAACAAAAAGCGGAACTATGACTCTACCTTTCAGCGCCTATTTACCTTTGCTTATGTTTTTATCCCAACCAAATGAGAAACCTTTGTCTACTTTATTAGGCATTACTCATGACATGAGTGAGTGTTTCTAACTCCGGGAAACAAAATCATTACTAAAGAATGTTTGATAACTCTAGTGATTGGACCCACTTAGTCCAGTATCTTTTTCCGTCACTCTATCTAAAGTTTATGTTTGACTGTTGTAAAAACAAAACTAAATATTTTGTATAGCTTGATATTCCAAACCGA